ATTAGAAACGATTTGTAATAAATAGTAGACGAAAATAAGGGGCGGGGGGCTAAACTCACTAAAAAACTTTGGACAAAGAAATTATCCCCTTCAAATATGATCAGTATAAAATAATCAGTGCTCACTGGTTAATAATATAAAGAATAAATTTATGGGAAGATAATAACATAATGTATAGTAATTTTCGATTAGGAATATTAGAATATTGTTGGAGCGCGAATTAAATAAGTACAATTTTACATAAAAAAAAAAAAAATCTATTTAGGTATGCAGTATAATATAATATAATATAATAATATAGTTTTAAAATAAATTATTTAAATGTATTGTTAGGTATTCTATATAATTATGTACGTTATTATACAATTACGATACAACATATTTTTTTTTTAAATTTGTTATATTTTATTTTAATGTACTCGTAACAAGGATGTTACTGTAAAAAAATATCTAATAGGTATTTTTGTTTTTCTTTATGAATCTTACGGCATTATCAAATCAAATTTAAAATTCAATAAATTTTTGCAGACTAAAATGACTATTTTGATAATTAATCAAGTTTACCTCTGTCTTACAAAAAATGTTAATTTAATTTGCATTTAAATTTGTATGTATTTACATAAATATCATATATATATAGAATGTCTAAAATAAATCGCAGTTGTGAGATGATGTTTTGCAAGTGCAGAAAGTTACTTTGATTTACAATAAAGTACTTCAAAATATTAACCTATTCTAAAATTATGGGAAATGTCCGCCTATGGCTACCGAGTAAATTATATTATTGATATTAGGCATATACATAGGGTATTCAAATCATCCTAAATGTTGGTGGATTTGAAATCTGTATTCAATAAAATTATGTATTTACTTAAAAATCAACACCCTATAATAATTACTCATTTACCTACCTACTACAGTATAATTTAAGACAATAAACAATAATTATATAGGGAATATTTTATTATTCATTTTAATTTATAAATATTGTGAGTATGTATCTACTTATTTACTAAAAATGTGCATATCTAATAAATTGTAAGGATGTTAGCTGAATTTTTTAAGTCAAAAGAGTAAATAAAGGTACAAAAAAAATTAATGTGTAAACAGAAGATTATTATTGATTAAAGTCATTGGTAACTAGTGATAAATCTATTCGACTGACGTTTATTTTTTTATTAAACTACCTATGTTATAAAATAAGACATGAAAAAAATTGGTCTACATCACATAATTTGAAAGTTGGCAACCCTAGGTGTATGGGTGTGAGCTATAATGTTAAAATGTTCTATGGCTAAACCGAGTAAAACAGGGAATCGTGATAAAACACAAAAATATTGTACATTATTATTATTGTTAAATTATATTACCATAATAGTAGGTATACATATTGGCCTACGATGATAAGCTACTGGAAATAACTTTTGTTCTATTCAATGTTTTTAACATATATATGTTTTTAAATAACTAGTATACAATACAGTTGACATATACATTTTTTTTTTTGTGAGGGGACTTGAAATAAAACACTTAAAACTTCACTGTAAATTTTTAAAAAAAATTCAAAATAGCCTTATTGTAAAGTAGGTTTAAGAAAATTGTTGCTGGTTGAAAATTTTGTTTAGTTATGGTCTTATATTTTCTACAATTTATTGAAATTTTTAGGAATGTGAATATTATTGTGGTTTATAATCTGGTTTATAATATAATATTGTAATCAGTAGTCAGAGCTCATCAAATGATAAGGATTTTTTTTTTACAAAAGTTAATATCATATAATAATACTACTGATTATTGATTAAAATATATTTCAATAGATTATAGGCCACAATAATATTCATATTTACCAAAACTTCAAAATATTATAGAAAACAAAAGACTATACAAGGTAAAATTTTTAATTTTTAATTTTAAGTTCCCCCACCTAATTTTTTTTTTTAATATGCATTAACTTCAGCACAGAGGCATATTAATTATTTAAAAAAAAATGCTGAATAGAGCAAAAGTTATTTTAAGTGGCAGATAATCGTGTGCCACCATATATACAGTGTCCCACAAACAGATTACCCATTGTGATATCCATTTTCGGAAGAAATCAAGATAATCAAATTCTGTTTTTTTAAAAAATAAATGAGTCCTACTTAGTCCTTACTTAGTAAAAGTGATAAGGACTAAAATTAATATTTATATTTAAATTAAGTTTGTATGTTTTGGCGAGAACTAAAAAAATTCATTTTTTTCTCTTTGTTTTTGAAAAATTTGAAGATAGTCATTTTATAAAGTTTGTTCTTTTGAATATGATAATTTATCAACTATTTATTTCCATTAAATTCGTGATTTTTAGTAATTTTTAAAGTTCAGAGAAAATAAGTTTACAGTCAATAATTAGCCATAATAATAATAATCAATTAGCGAATGCGATTAGAGCATGCTACATAATTATTGATGTTTTTCTCTAAACTATTATTGAAAACTACGAATTTAATGATAGTAAAAAATTGAAACATTTTCGGTAGAATAAACTTTATAAAAGTGCTATCTACAAATTTTTCTACTATAAAATAAAATGTTATTTTTTTGGTATTTTTACCGAAACGTAAAAAAAATGAATGATGAATATAAATATTGGTTTCCTTATCCCTGTGAGTAACATAAATGATAACAGAATCAGATTATCTATTTACTATCTCCGGGAATATTCCATTGGATACATCTTCGTGGGAAACATGCATGTGTAGGTAGGAGATGTGTTTTTATTGTATTTACGAAAACGAAAAGTTTCAAAAAATCGTAAAAAAATCGTGACAAAAAAATGATGTAAGGTGAAATTATATATTAATATTTAGCGTACCCATTAAGTACAATAATTATAAGAGTTGGGATTTCGGTTCAAAGTTATTTACAATTTTTTTCCGGCGTTTCAAAACGTAGGTCCGTAAATAGAAAACGTGTTGTTTTAATATAATAATCAATTTACACATTTTTTTTTTTTTTTGACAGATTTAACAGCTAAGGGAATTTTTTAATGTTTAATACGTTGATCACAATTAATTTATACAGCGAACGTAAATATTTTTGAGATAAACCCGAGACTTTCGGTGTATATATTATACAGTGCAGCAGTAGTTATACTATGTTCAGGTAGTGATCAGCAGAAATAAAAAAAAAATTAGAACGTTTAGATGTCTAAGCTAAATATATTTTTTCAGAATGAACGATTAAAAATAAAATCAAAAGATCTTAATGAAATGAAATAAAATACTATTGGAAAACATAAATTTTGTTTTATAAATTACTATTAATACGTTTGAAAAGTATTTTTCAAGTTAATTCGGTCATTTTTTAATTTGTATTACGCAATTTTTTAGGGCTTTTTAGCCCAGCCCTTATACCAATACACCTACTTATACATAATAAATTATCAAATGCACAATACGTAATGATAACAAAAATAAGTTATTCTCGTGGTATAAACATCATATACGGAGAAATTGATTACGTTTCGTTTTTTTTTTGTTTTTAGGGGAGAGGGAAACCATATATTATTACTACAATAATTATTTTTAACTTGATACACTTAACTAATATAATACATAAATAAAACTTAAAATTAATTAAACGTAAATAAACCATCTATAACAGTGATATCGAATTCAAAAAAATCAAGTTCAGATAAGTTGAATTCGCATGCAACAGTAAATTTTTCGATACCGATAATATAAAATGGTGACGTACAAATACGAAATATTTAGATTAAAATCTCTAATCGAGATAAATGTCCACAAAAAAAAATCAACGATTAGGTACAAAGTGATTCTTTTATCATTAACCAACAATATTCTTAATAAACTTTAAGTGAATTTGATTTTTTTTTTTGTAATCATAACCGTTCAAATTTTATACTAATACTATTTTCAATTTGTTTTTGCTATTTGTTATACTTGGATTTTTAAGTACGATCAACCCCTCACTTTCAATCACAGATTAAAAGAGAATATTTTTCTAGAAATGTATTTACATACATAAAAACAATAAGAGTTTAAAGTTTAGATCAGAAGAGTACGGAAAAGTATTTAATCTATTATTTTAATTATTTAAGTTTAAATTAATAAATAATTTATAATTCCTCCCTACTTTCCAGGTCTTAACGTTAAACTTGCATCGCACATAAAAGGAAATTCTAATATTAGTGTTATGCATTGCATAACAAAATTTCCAGAACCAATATTATCCAGTTTAATCTGTGATTGAAAGAGAGGTTGCCATTTAAAAATCTAAAGTGGATACTCATTTCAGGTAAATGGAGTATGGGTAAAAATGAGTGATAAAATAAACCTTAAACAATTCTATGCCTGAAAAAAAAGACAGAATTCAAATTCACGAGAAAATTTTCCGAGAAAAACCGCTGGTTCATAACTTCCAGACGGTTCCGAATACAATACCAAGATAAAATTAATATACGGGTATCGATTTACGGAATATGTTCGATTAAACGCGACCTACTGATAGTATAATTATTCCTGTATAAATAAATGTCAAAAAGGAATAAATACAAATACGGGGATGACGTTCCCGACGAATAAACCGGAATGCTTAATGAACTACAAGACGACCGACTTAACTGCTAGATTATTTACCTAACGAATAATAAAGACAGACATGCGTACCTATGACGAGAAGTCTTCGACTGCGCGGCTGCGGCGGTGGGTGGGTTAGGTTGGATGGAGCAACGGGCGTAGTCCTGAAAATTCGAAAATTATTAATATACGAAAACACTCGACGAATGATAACAACAGGTATGCGCTTACCAACGATGGCGAGAAGCAGTGTGGCTCCGTGTGGCTGCGCGTTATTCACTGCGGTCGGCGGTCGGTCGCTGGACAGTCCTGAAAGCATACGGGTGTCGTTAATACGAAAATATCAATGATAAAAACGAAGAAAATACAATAACGACGTGCACGCTTACCGATGACGCGGCGTAGAGGAGTCGTGGACCGCGGCTACCGGGTAACGGCAGCGGCGGCGACAGGAGAAATGACTGCGGGTGACTGGCGTTCGGTGGCTCGGCAGACTGCGACTGCAGAGCGGACAGCGGACTGCGTGCGGACCGAACTCGATATGCGCACGGACGCTCCCCACCGCCGGGTTTTCGTATTGTAGACGCAATTGCCGGGCGGCTGCCGCACGTCGTCGCCGTTCGCGGCGGCGGCGATGTTAGCGGTGGTGGCAGTGGAAGCGGTGGTGAGCGGCGGAGAGCGGTGGGAGTAGGCATATAGGGCGTCGGTCGCGAAGCGCGAGGGTGGCTCTGCAAAATATTATATCGTTTATACAAATATTATCTAATAGAATATTATAAAAACAGAAAATTACGCTTACCGATGGCCGAACGTCGCGAATCGGACGACGTCGGTGACGAAAATGACTTGCAATGGTCGACCACCGCGAAGGCACGGGTCGCTAACATCAAGTGGTGCTTCAACAGAAATATCGAACGGAATGAATAGACAGGAGAGGAAAAATTAAAATGTTAAAAACGAAAAATAAACGCGGAGAATAATTAACGCGCCGGGAACGGTAATGACAGTAGGAACGGAGTGACAGTGCGGCCGTACGGCGACTGCGCTCGGCGGAGCGACTGCCGGTACGGACGACGGATAGGGAGCAGGCCGGATCGAAAAGTGCGCGTTCGTGTCCCGCCGCCGGTCCTTATAAAGGCCTCCGTCGGCGGCGGCGGCGGCGGCGACGGGTGATCGGGCGGCGGTGGATGGCGGTGGCGGCGTCGCCGCATTGGCGTCGGTCACAAGGGACGGAGGTACGGTGGGAGCGGCGGCGGCGGCGACGGCGACGGCGACGATCGTTATCCCCCGATAATGGCCGAACGTCGGGAAAAAAATTAAGGGCGACGGCGACGTTTTTCACCGTGTTCATAAATAATACATCGTATTTATTATGCCGACCGCGTATACCTGTACACCTATTTATTCCGTCGAGTATTTCATGTAATACGGGCGCGTGGAATTCGGCCGCACTTATAATATTTTTACGGTGAAAATGTACGGTCGCCAGACGGGCGGAATTTAACGAATAAAACCGTGATTGGCTCCACAATATTAGGGTACATTCGTTTATCGCCGTGCAACGATCGTTTGTAAACCGTATAGCCGCAGTAAGTGCGTATGGTATTATAGGTACCTGCACTTCATCCCCGAAGAACAAAAAATAAAAAAAAACCATTAAAAAATCCGTTTTTTTTAAAAAAATCCGTTTACCCGTTAAAAGGCAAGGGGGGAGAGGTAGGCAACAACCAAACGGTTATAATAAACGCGTATTTGTTTGTTTTTTTTTTTCGTTTTTTCCGACTCGCATTGTTATATTATTAATATTTTTTGGCGCCTTTAAACGAAAACAATGATCGTAAAAAATGCGTCATTTTAATATACACTGTGACGCATCGATATAATCATTATAATCAAATGTGGCGGATTATTGTTCGGCACAAAATCGTTCGCATTAATTTCGAACAATGAACATTAAATAATGTAAAATACAGATAATATTGTGTAATCACAAATATCGACATTATCGACTATCGCGTAATAATTCAATCGATGATTGCAGGAACGTCACGAATAAAATTCAATTTTGAAAACAAATTTAACCCATGAGTAAATACTTATTGAAACATTATAATACGCTGATTATAATGGGTATAATTTTTGTGTACAAATTATTTAATATGCGCTTATTATTGACTTTTATAATTTGAAAAGAAGACTTTTAAAACGTGTGACTCATCGTGATGTCTCTGCGATTCGATTAGCGTTCGGAAATTACAGGAGTCGTTGTTTGTTTGTTTGTACTACGCACTGGATTTATAAAACGGACCGAGTTAGTAATTTTATTTTCTATAAAACGGAGAGTTTAAAAAACTAACGTTTAAATACGTATTTTACATGTATTTCGTTAATTTTAGAGAAAATTGCATATTTCATCGATTTTCGTTGACTTTCATATATTTTTACGCATATTACGCGTGTTTAATATTTGTTAAAAAATATACACATTTTTTTTTTCTTAACCAATGTATTTTGAACTGTACCGAAAATAAAACTCAATATGATTGATTGACGTAGTTATTTATTGTTATTTCTTATATCGTCTCAGTTTATTAATTTAACGAAAACGCTGTGTGCGATATGCATTACACATATGTTTTTGAATAATAAACTTTCAATAATTTTGCACATATTTACTACATTTTTTTCGTGCAAATTTAACAATTTTTTAGCTTCTATAACTTCCGAGTCCTAGTGAAAAATCCATCTGACCGCAATTTTAACGACAATTTATAACCATTATTAACTCATTTTTGTATTATACAACTACAAATGTAATTCAATTTTCATGGGGGGGGGCCGTGCCCTCTCGCCTCACCTTTGAATCCGCCACTAGTCATATTATAATGACGCGTTTATAATAATATTTAACGACAATATTATTGCGTTCGAATATCGCCTAAATATACGAACAATTTGGCAAAAACGCAATTAACGCTGGTACAGATATTCAATTGTTCGTTAATTTTTTTTTTCCAATTTCTCGCAAAATCATATTCAATATATTATATTGTTTATAGTGGTGTGCGAATCGCGGGCTTAAATTACAAATATAATAAAATACGCACGTATTACGTAGAAAACCATGCGAAAAATAAAGAGAATTGCAATAAACTTTCAACTATACTAATAATAATGTAGTCACTAGTAGTATTTACAATAGTAAGCCACCGGCATCGTACTATTAAAAAATTTTCCCGAGCCCCAAGAGTATCTAATTTTATTTTCAATAAAACACATACACGCATAATTATATCGCTGAATACACGCACGCTCGCGGAATTGTTGTCATAATTAGGGCTATGAAAAAAAATCCACACCAAGACGCGATATTATCGAAATGTTTCAATATAATAACTATATACAATGCGTCCATATAATATTATTATCATTGGGTTTATAAATACAGAGAAAGTTTTAATTTTTCTGTTTGTGATAATAATACATGTTCGCACCCACATTATATATTTCGTATATTCGTATTATATTACGTTAGTATGAAAATAAGTCTACGGAATATAGTAATAACGGGTGTAATAAATTAAAAATGATAAAAAAAAAAAAATAAATAGACTTCTATTTACACAATTAAATAATAGCATTTTCCTATGTGGTGGTATTGTTACGCGTGTTAACCGGACGATAAAAGTACTCGAAACAATTTTTTTTTTTTTGAATAACCCGACCACAGTGGAGGATCGGTTTTCACATTGCTACCCCATTGCACTTAAAACAATGGGCGTAATAGGATTTTTTTTTTCAATTAATAATATTGAAATATGACGTGCGTTTTGATGGTCAGACAATTATGGAGAAGTGTTTCCGGGAATATAGTATTACGTCGTCGCAATATTATGATAAAACAATTATTATATATTAAGTTTCGGTTTTACCTGTAGATATGGAATACGCCGGTAAAAAACGTTTGGTCAATTTACCAGGTACATAAATTACCGTAAATCGGGTAAATTTTTATTTGCAATGAAATAAACGTATATAACTATTAAATCATAATTGGCATATACGAGTATAAATACAGGTTAACATACTTTTAATACTTAAGATAAAATAATACGATTTCAAATTGAAATACGTAAACATTCGGTTAAGTAGGTAATGTATATTGCGACTGTATACAATTAATGGAATTGCAAAACTCAATATCGTTTGAATCTGTTTCATACCATATTATGACGATAGAATACAATTTTCTTAAAAATCAATGTGTTTATTGAAATTAATAAATAACAAGTAAAATAAAAATTGTCACGCTATAGTAAAACTGTTCATAAAATTTACTGGATAAGAAAATCATCGCGAATTGAACGTTTACCTGTAAAATTTACCCGGCCAAGTAAAGTAGTTAATTGTAAAACGGTGCGATTCGAAAAAATAATCATTTTTATGTAAGGGGAATCTATGATAATGTACAGGACAAAGTTAAATTAATGTGACGCGCACTTAAACTAGTCGAGTTAGTCGAGTTAAGGAACAAACTAATTGTAATTATATTATTTTCGAGAAAAATATAATCCCTATCACGGATATTTTTTTGAACTGTCACGTCCGACCAATACCAGCGACAGCATCAAAGACATCGAAATTTAATTAAATTTAAAATTTATCGTGGGGTGTGTATCGACCGTTCGGCTCCGGCGGTATCATCAAAGCGACCTGTCCCTTATATATTATACACAGAAAGCCGAGGGTGAAGGTTTTTTTTTTTTTACCGACTCCGTCACCGTTTCTTTTATACCGAGTTCGCGTAGCGGGAGATTTTGTTTTGTTACTTAGGTATTTGGGGTTTACTTGAGTTTCTATTGATAATAATATTAATAACAATTCAAAGGGCTGCGACGCGTCTAGATCGTGCGAAGATATTAAGTTGTATAGAATATTATATTATAATGTAGGTGTCTCTTTTCTTTTCTCTCGATAAACATCGTTCCGTTATCTTTATTGTAATATTATTTTTCAATTCCGAGTACAAGACGACTACGTTTTGAATATTTTATTAACATGTATTGATATTTTTTTTTTTGTCTACAATATGACGTGTCATTTGTCGTTCATGGCATTCAGTGTTGCAGTGTGCAAGCATAATATAACATTACATTATGCCACTGTCACTTAAAAATCGTTGTTATTTATTTTTTTACGACTCGAGTTAACGCGACTTTAAATTAAATGAAAAAAAAAAAGAAGCAGTAATAAATATTGTTAGAAATTATTTCAATAAAATAAAGGACAAAGAAGGGCTAAAAAATATAAAACGGCACACTATTTTAATAAATTTTTCAATTCTAAGTTCATTATTTTAATTGTTATAGATGAGGATGCCGACATAAACACAGGTAGACTCGGTGCATGGGCCACTATTTTTAACGATTTATTCATTTTACCGAATACGGTAATTGGGCCTCAATGCTATTATAATTGTACATAAATTGTTTTAACGTACTTATGGTTTTACTGGTATTTATTATAAAAACAAAAATGTCTAATTGTCTATGAGAAAAATAAATAATTATTTAACATTTTTATTTAACTACATTTTTATTAATTGATTGCAAATTTTAGCATATCCTAGTTTTGTATTTTATATTTAAAAAAAAAAAATAATAATAAAAAGTTGATACTGGGGACGGGTGCAGCCATTGTTGTAGATGGGAAGTTTTAAAGGTAGAACACAAATTATTTAATTTATATCTGTAGCTACGCAAAGATAAATAATTGCTAACGAAAAACAATTCGGAGGTAAATTCGGTAAGAAATATTTTGAAATTTGATTTTAAGCCGCTTATGAAAAAAACTGCATCGAATTCAAATTTCGTTTTTAAACGACTAA